GAGATTGAGGGCCTCAGAGACCTCTGATCTTCCCTGGCTTCATCCAGGGTCCCCAAAGGAACGCTGCTGCCCGTCAGGGAGCAGGGCGGCTCCTCAAGCAGAAACCGGAAGGCCGCAGAGTCTCCGACCTTCAGACATCCACTGGGCAGGGCGAAAGCACCCTCAGGAGGGCCTCTAAGAAAGGGCTGTACATCCCGGACTGGCGGACTTGCAGCTCCGGCGTTAGAAATCCAGGCACTTGGGCGTTTCTAGAAAGTGTGGCTTAGTACACAGAGGAAATGACAGCAGACTGTGAGGAACAGCGGGAGGCAGAGCCCAGCAAAAGGCGGTGGACGGAAGGTGGGGGACGCTAGGGGGAAGATCCTAGTAAACGTCAGTGGACAAAGCTCCCTGGTGACCCCTGCCTCAGTGGGCAGAGACGTCGAGGTGTCCGGTGTGAGTGCTTGGTGTCTTAGGGTTTCCCCCATGTTGGCAAGGTTCCCATCTTCTGTCTTTAGGGCGTCCTGTGTCTGCCAAGGACACCAGTGCAGAGCTGAGCACGATGCCTCCTCGGGAAGACAGGCGGGGTCCTGGAGCCAGGTCTGAAGCGAGTCGAACACCAACCACTGACAGAAAGATAGCGACTCCCTTCCCTGGTGAAAGGGCAGCCTGTTTTACCAGAAAAAGGCACTGGACCAATCTACTCTACTATCATCATTATTATTATTTTAATATTTTTATTATTTATTTGGCACAGGGTCTCACTACGCAGCTCAGACTCCTACTGATCCTCCTGTCTCAGCCTCCGCAGTGCTGGGATTATAGGTGTGCACCACCACACCCAGTTTTGGTGGCTGACATGGCATGGGGCTAGCGCGGTATGCAGTCAGGGATTGAACCCGGGTCTTTGCACTTGCCAGGCAGGCACTTAGCCCACTGAGCTATCTCTCCAGCCTATTATTATTATTATTATTATTATTATTATTATTATTATATTCAATAGAGTGATCTTAGACATTTTGGAAACTTTGAATACATTTCTCATAAGGTCAAGTATATGGGTGTGGTGGCCCACACCTGCGATCCCAGCACTCAGGAGGCTGAGACAGGAGGATCCTCCACCATGAGCTCAGAGCTCAAGGTAAAGTCTGAGCTTTACAGTAAGTACAGTAAGTACAAGGCCTAAACAAAGGAGGGGGGTAACACAGACACACACAGAGGCAGGACCATGTGAAGGCAGAGGAGGTATCAGACCGGGAAGAGAGACATGGATTTGGGTTCTGAGGGGCTACTCTGCCTGGTGAATACAGACACTCAACAACTAGGGGTGCTCAAGAGAGGGAACCCAGAGGCAGGACAGGAGCAGCAGCAGCCCAGGACACCGCGCACCTACCCTGCTGTCAGCCCCCTAGAGGGGTCCTCTTCCAGCTCCCTCAACTCCTCGCTTCCCACAGAAGCCTGGGTTTTGGAGGGGCAAGACCACTGTGAAGGTATAGCCAGGCCAGAGGTGATTCCTTCGTGTCCTGTTGTCCTGTGTCCCTGAGGGTCACCGGAAGAGAGCACAGAGAGGTGGCTGGAAACCTGGGTGTGGGACTTGGGAGAGGGCATGGTTGCTGAGGGCTGTGTGGGCACCAGGGCTGGGAACTTGGGTTTTTTTGCTTGGTCTTATTTTGTTTCTCGATCAATTGATTTTTGGATTTTTGAGACAAGGTCTCGCTACATAGTTCAGGCTGACCTTGAACTCACAGCATCTTCCTGCATCAGCCTCCTCAGTTCTGAGAGTGTATGTGTGCACCACCATGCCCAGCTTTCCCGTTCTGTCTTTTTAAAGTGAAGAAACAAAATGAACAAAAGAGGAAAAAGGAAGAAAATAAAGGAATCTCAGAGGTTTAGGACAGCTGGCAGAGGGGAAGCACTCGGTGCTAAAGGGTTGACTCCCCTAGAGAGGCCTCCCTGGCGCCCTCAGAAACATTTCAGGGGCCGGGGAGATGGCTCAGTAGAATAAGTGTTTTCCTGGCAAGTGCAAGGGCCTGACGTTCAATCCCCAGTTCCGCCGAAAAAGAAAAAGAAACATTTCAGGGTCAAGAATTTCCAACCCACAAATCCTGCTGCACGGTCAGCAGGCGGTCAGCAGGTGAGGCTTTGCTGAACCTCCTGCCTCCGAACTTCCTTCCGGCTTCCCAGGAGGGTGTGCCCTGGGCCAGGGTCACACCAGCTGCAGACCTGGGTCCCTAAATGAATCCTAAGTCCGACTGCAGCTCTGTGCTGGGAACGTTGCCTAACAAGCAAGGGAAAACTGTGCAGGAAAAATTTTTTTTTAAAAAAAACTTTGTTCTTTTTGAAACTGCCGAGCTCTGTAATGGCCTCAGGACCCTGTAATTACTTCCCTAACCCCTGGGATGATGACAACATAACCGAATGTGCGGGACATTGATTACAACAAGCTCCATGACCATTAATCTGGCCCTGTAGCCCATGACGGCCGCCTGCTAGCCCATGGGAAGGGCTGCCGGGCTGCTGTCCTGCCCCTGCGCCTCGGGCTCGTGCACCCAATCGATGCGCCAGCGCACGAGCGAGCCGGGCCTGGCATTGTTGGGAGTTAGCCCGGCCAGGACCACAGGCGTCAACAAAGCTGTTTAGTGCCTCCTGACTTCCTTGGGTGTTGTTCCTTTCCTGGACTAAGTTTTGCCACAACAAAATTTAAAAAACAATTTTAAAAATATTTATTTTTATTATTTGATACAGGGTCTCGCTATGCAGCTTGGACTCGTAGTGATCCTCCTGTCTCAGCCTCCCCAGCTCCCGAGCCGCCATGCCTGGGGTTCTGTAGCTATCATGGCCTGCGGTACCAGGGATAGAACTCAAGTCCTTGCACTTGCCAGACAGGCACTTAGACCACCAAGCTATCTCCCCTGCCCAAAAAAACAAGTTTTTGTTTCCTGAAAATGTTTTGCTATGTCCATATACACCCCTGGCCCACAGCTGGGGACACAGGCTGGTGTGGGCCATCCTGTATGCGGGTGTGTGTGTGGGGGGGGAAGCCAGGTCCTCCCGCACACCACGCAAGTGCTCATCATGGGTAGGGGGGGACTTGCCATCCTTCTGCTCAGCCTCCCGGAGTGCTAGGGTTCCAGGAGTGCGCCACCAGGCCCATCCTTAGGGGTCCTCTCTTAGCCCCAGTGTCCCCCGCACTGACCTCGCCCTGGTCTCCCCCAACCTGGTGCCACAGCAAGCCAGTTCACAAGCTTCTCCCCATTTTGGAATCTGCTAAAGAGTCAGTAAGCTTTGAGGAGGGGAGATTGGTGTAGAAATCTGAGATATTTTCGTTTTGCTGAACATTTTTGGTCACTTGGAGCTTACTGTTGCAGCATTTTGCTCCCATCTGTCTCTCATATTTGAACAAAGCAAGAGAAGAGAGGACTCTCTGCTTCTCTTACTGGAATCAGCAGTGTCACATCGTGGGGAAGCATCGGTTTCCAGCCTGTCCTCTTGCGAGTGACCCCTGACTGAGCTCCTGCCACCAAGCTGGTGGCTTCTGATAAAGCCCAGTTTCATAAGCAATGGTTGGACAAGAAATGTCAGTCCATAAACACTGGGGTGTGTTCTGTGTGCCCCAGATAAGCATCTGTCCCCATGCCCTGTACAGAGGGGAGGGCGTGCTGCCCGCCAGGGCGGAGCACGAACCCCGCCCCCTTGCTTTGATTTTTAAAATTTTTTTTTAATATCAGTGCTGGGAATCAAACTCAGAACCTCATAGCTTACTAGGCAAGCAGTCTACCATGGAGCTACATCCCTAGCCCTCTCAGCAGTTTTACTTTGAAATTTATTTTTTTATTTATTGATACACGGTCACACTACTCAAAACTGGATTCAGAGTGATCCTCCGGTCTCAGCCTTCCCAGCACTGGGATTACAGGTGTGCGCCACCACGCCTGGTTGCAGGGCCTGCACAGGGCGCTGGGGCCAGCATGGCATGTGGTACCAGGGATCAACCCCAGGTCCTTGTGCTTGCCAGGCAGGCACTTAGACCGCCGAGGTATCTCCCCAGCCCCAGCAATTTTACTTTGAAACTTATTTATTTATTTTTGTGGTGCTGGTGGATTGAACCCAGGGTAGTCATATTCCTAGCCTTTTTTTCACCCCCCAAATTTTGAGACAGGGTTTCTCTAAGTTGCCCAGGCTGGGTTTGAGTTTGCAGTCGTCCCGCCTCAGCCTCCCAGAGTGCTGGGATTACACGGTGTGTGTGTGTGTGTGTGTGTGTGTGTGTGTGTGTGTGTGTTGCCGCTCCTGGCTCCTCTTCCATCTTTTTTTTTTTTTTAATTAATTTATTTATTTATTGTGTGTGTGTGTGTGTGTGTGTGGCCAGCTCAGCCCACCAGGGGGCGGGGCTGGCTGGCATGTGGTGCTGGGGGATCGAACCGCGGTCCCTGTGTTTTGCTTAAGCTTAGCTTGTTCTAAGTGGGTGCTTTAGACCACTGAGCCATCTCACCAGCCCTTCCATCTTTTTGGAAGCAGCCTTGGATTGCTCATCAAGATCTCTGGTTCCAGCAGCCTCGGTGTTGCCAAGGAAGCCACAAAAGCCTGGTGAGGCCCTGTCCTTTCTGGCGACCTTGGCCTTGTGTTTGGGAACTAAATGGCACACTAGCAGCGCCGGATAATTCCGACTCAGCACTTTAATTTTTCATGCTGGCAGTTTTATCAAGGCCTTGTGCATAGCAAGGGCTCCACAGGGGTAGGAATTAGCGTCCCTATCTTAGAGTACAGGAACTGAGGCTCCCAAAGGGGACGCGTCGCTCCCAAGGCCCCGTCAAGTGGGACAACTCTCCCAGGTGTCTGCACTACCTCTTCCCAGCTCGCATTGGGCGCTTCTCCTTGGCGAAGAACCAGAGGACCAAGTTGTAGGGCGGGGTTTATGCAAATAGACCTCAGGCGAGGCCGAGGATTGGCGGGCGCGCGGCGGGGGCGGGGCTGCGGAGGCCCAGCCCGGCGGGTGACTGCAGCAGAGGGTAGGTGAGCGCACAGCCGGACCACGCCAGGCCGCTGCTGCCTCCGGTGATGCCTCCGCTCTGGGCGATGCTGGCGCTCAGCTGCCTGCGGATTGGCTGGAGTAAGCAGGGGCCGCGGGCTGGGAGGAGGCGCGGCCCCGGCCTGGCGCGAGGGGCCCTCCCGGGAAGCTCGAGGGGAGCCTGAATGAGAAGCGACCCTAGGGCGTCAGTTACTCATTCCAGGAATGGGCACAGATTCCCGGTGCTGGACCCCCAGGTCGTAGTAGCAGCCAACGTGAGCTTCCAGTGCACCAATCCAAGGGCTCACGGGGGCTTCTGCCTGCGAGGGTCGTGGGGAGAGACCAAGACACAAGGGGAGGCAGACGGGCAGCAGGACAGTTCTGCCCAAGGGCGGCATGAGGAGTCTGGAGGAGGGAGACTGTGCACCCCGCGGCCAGAGCTTAGGGTAGCCTGGCATGGGGGGGCTGAGCGGGAGGGCAGGGCGGGACCTGCAAGGGGCTGGTGGGGCACAGGTAGGATCCGGTGGCGTGGTGCAGAGTAAAAGGGCCCTGCTCCTTGGCTCCAGGTGAAGAGCGAGGAGTGGGGGATATGGGCCATGGGGCAGAGACAGCCTGAGGGGCGCTAGTGGGCCTTTCAGTGAAGGGTTACCTGCAGGGGGAAGCCAAGCAGTGGTAATGCCTGGAATCCTAGCACCCACAGTAGGAGGCTGAGGCAGGCAGACTGCAAGTTCAACACCAGCCTGGGCAATGTATGTATCATCTTAAAATCTATATGTAGTACCAAAAAAGAAGGAAAAAAAAGAAAAGTTTGCAGGGGAAGAGGGTTTCTGACAGGATGACCAGCAGAGGGTGGCCAGGGCATCTGAGACTTCAGGAGGTGGTCCTTGGCAGGTGACACCCAGTGCCTGGCACTCAGCAGGTCGCGGTGGGGAGTGCCAGGTGCAGGCAGTCTGCGGGGTCAGTACCCATCTACATTCCTCCTCCAGCCGTTGACCTCCAGCCCCAGCTGGCCAGCATAACCTTCGCCACCAACAACCCCACGCTCACCACTGTGGCCTTGGAAAAGCCCCTCTGCATGTTTGACAGCACAGAGCCACTTGAGGGTACCTATGGAATCTACCTCTACGTCATGGCAGACTTGGGTAAGCGTCCTGCTTTTCTCCTACTACTCCAGAAGGGGTCCAACCTCTCCCCACAAGAGGAAGCAGGCAGGTAGAGTCCCCACAGTTGCTGTCATTCAACTGGCCCAAGAGCTTGTCCACAGGTGGCTGCAGGCACAGACCTGCCCCCAGCACCCAGCATCCAGCACCCAGCACCCAGCACCAGCCGCTGAGCACCTGCCCAGCCCAGGTCCTTCCTTCCATTCCACAAGGGCCAGGGTTGGGAGGCAAAGCCAAGTGTTGGGACCTGTGGGACCTGCCTGACCCTCGGCCCTTCATGGGTAGGAGCCCAGCCTTTCCAGGGAAGGGGCCCAGGGTCAGCCGCTCTCGTTGGGAGAAACCAACCATTTACATCAGCTTTTTGGGGCAGTCAGTTTATTCTTAGTGAACATTTGCTGACCACAGACCTGGGCCCGGTCTGCGGGCACTGTGTGCATATGTTGGGCCATTTCACTGAAGACGGTGAATGGGATCCAGAGAGGTAGAACAAGTTGTCCAATGTCACCCTGACCCACGAGGATCCTCTTCCTGGTTCTTGGAAAAGAGAATCCCAGGCTGTCTTGACAGGAGTTTGGGTCTTCAGGTGGGGAGGCAGGAGTGTTACAAGTTGAGATGTGGAAGCCAGGCATGGTGGAGCACACCTGTGATCCCATTACTCAGGAGGCTGAGGCAGGAGGATCACTGCAAATTCAAGGCCAGCCTGATTTACATAGTGAGATCTTAGCCGATAAAACAAAACGAATTTTAAAATTGGATAAGGTGGGAGAGCTGGACTCAGCACCCAAAGCTGGGAGGTGCTGCTTGTCTGTCCCCCCAATTTCAATGCGGGGGGGGGGGCAGCGCATGGCTACAGCAGGTCAGAGCCTGAGAGCATCTGATGAATGGCTGAGTTGTGCGCTGAGCCAGCGTGGCCAGGATCCTCACTCCGGGCTCTGCCTTTGCAGCTGGCTTCAGGAACACCTCTGTACTGGACAGGGACAAGACCCCCCTGAGAGCCACGTTCCAGGAAACCATGGGCGGAAGGACGGGTCCCTACAAAGCCGCTGCCTTTGACCTGACAGCCTGCAGTGATCTGCCCAACCTGGATGCCGTCAGGGATGTGAACCAGGCCTTGGGGATCCTGGACGCCTACCTAGTCCGGGTGGGGGACAACAGGAGCTGCCTGTGGGACCCCAACTTCCAGGGCCTGTGCAACGCCCCGCTGTTAGCAGCTACAGCCTACAGGTGGGCATGAGGAGCCGCAGGAGGCAGAGTCAGCGGGGAGAGCACGGAGTGGGAGAAGCCACATTTCTCCGGAGTTTGGGTGCTGGCACGGCTGGGGCTCAGGCAGGCCTGGTTCTTGGCCTCACTAGGTGCAGAGAGCCCAGGTTCAGAGGGCCCAACCTGGCTTAGTGCCCTGTCATCTCTGCCCTAAAATTCTTAACTGGAACAGGGGCTGTGTTTGCACTGGGTGTGGGGCCCACCAGCCATGCGCCTGCTGTGGCTGAGGCAGAGGGCAGTGAGGTGATGTTCAGGCACTCGCTACAGCCCCGAGCCCCATGGCCCACCCTCCCTGCCGCACCTTCCTCCAGGGTCTCGCACTGTCTCTGCCCCAGAGGTGGGGTCCTGGCTTTTGGTCAGACCTCAGGTTATGCCCGCTCTGGCTGCCATGGAAACACTGAGCTTGGGCTCTCTAGAGCTTCTGGGCCGGTTTGGGACCCAGAGCATTGCCCACCTGCCATCCGCCTGCCTGCTGCCGCTGCCTCAGGCCCTGGGGAAGGGTCCTGCTGTCCTCCTGGCCAGTGCCTCTGAAATGAATGTCCTAAGGGAATCCCTGCCCCTCCTCATGCCCCATCCGGCTTCCTGAGCAAGCCGCCCCGCCTCGAGGGCAAAGGGCGGGCACACAGCCCCACCCTCAGGAAGGCACACCTTGAAGCAGAGTAGGGGGTCATCAAAACTGGGGTAAGCAGTGTTTCTTTGGTTTTTGAAAGAGTATCTCACTGTGTAGCTCCCGCTGGTCTCAAAGTCCCAGTGATCCTTCTGCCTCAGCCTCTTGAGTAATGGGATTGCAGCCAGGCTTCTTAAACCTTTTTGAAAAAGTCTTACTACGGGGCTGGGGAGATAGCTCAGTAGGATAAGTGCTTGACTGGCAAACACAAGGATCTGAGTTCAATCCCCGGTTCCGCCAAAAAAAAAAAAGTCTTACTAAATCACTAAACTGCCAGGTTGGGCTAGAATTTGCAATCCTCCTGCCTCACCCTCCCAGAACGCTTCTTAAGTGTTAAAAACCGCGGGCGGTAGACACCACAGTCCACATACCATCCGTAGCTTTTGACCCCCTGTGTGTGAGCCCTGAAGCTCTCGACACACTTGCTGGGTCTCCTTGTGCTGGAAACGTCCCCCGACCCAAGGGCGGTGGGGGCAGCAGGTGGTACCACTCCAGGTTGTCTTTCAGTTCCCTTTGAGATCCCAAGGAGCAGGCCCTCGCAGAGGGCAGGGTTGCCAGCAGATGTGTGGGACCTGTCCCTCCAGTATACGCTGTGAATGAGCAACAGGATGGGAACACATGGCCTGCAGAGAGTCCCCAAAGGCTCCCTGGAGGAGGTTGGGAGGTGTCTTAATACCCTTCTCCTTGCTAAGGCAAAATACTCACAAGCCAGAGGAGCAAAGGCTCATTTGCACTCACTCTCCAGAGGTTTCTGTCCACAGTCCTTGGTAGACTCCTGGTAGAGCACAAACGGCCCTTGGCAGTGCAGGCAGGAAGCAGCAGCCCATCTTCCTCCTGTCCTTTTAGGTCCCATCCAGAATAAAAGCCTGCAGAATGGTGCCGCCCACACGCAGGCTGGGGCTTCCACTGTTGGCCTCCAGAACTCTGCTAATTCTAGTCAGTGGGCTAATGTAGTGCCTCGCACCTTAACCCCAGGATCGCACAGCTAGATCCAGCCAGCTTTGCACGCCCCACCCGTGAGCAAATGAGGCTTTGAGGGATATCTAGGTACAGCTCATGACAGGCGGGTGTGAGGGTGACAGATGGCCAAGTCACGTCCCTTCCTGTTGCCTGGGAGTCCCCTCTGTGGCTATGTTGCTCCTTCCGGCCTCCCAGGCTGGGACACACAGGATGCTGGAAAGCACCGTGGCTCTGTCTCCTTCCAGGTTCAAGTATGTCCTGGTCAACATGTCCACAGGCCTGGCGCAGGACGAGAGCCTGTGGTCGGACCCCATCCGCACCAAGCAGCGTGAGTAGGGGTGGGCAGGGGTGGCACCCCAGGGCCTGGAAGCTGGCCTAGGCTTGGACTGGCTCCCTGGAATACTAGCTGGCCTTTAAAACAGTTTAACCTGAAACCAGGCATGGTGGCGCATACCTATAATCCCAGCACTCAGGAGGCTGAGGCAGGAGAATGGCCAGAAATCCAAGGCCAGCCTGAGCTTCATAGTCAGCCTGTCTCAAAAATAAAACAAAAAATTTAACCTACAGTGTCTCCTCCCTGCCTCTGCCTCTGAGGCCTGGTATGCTCACTGGGTCTAGGACAGCCCTCAGGGGAGCCTGGGTCAAGGTCAGGGTCTTTTTGCAAGGTCACACTCCTTGTGCCCGTGGGTCATCCCCAGGGGGGATCCTGCTAGGTCCTGGGCAGCCCTCACACTGCTCTGCCGGATGTAGGTCTCCTCCAGATGTGGGAGGAGTCCCGGGGTTCACCTGGGGACACCGACAGAAGCCAGGCTACAGGGGCAGCGTGCATCTGAGACCACACATGGAGCCTTGGTGGTCACTGCGGGCTCCATCACTCCATATGTGGTCCCCAAAGAGAACCCACCCTTGCTCCGTTTTATTTACACTTTTGACTCCATCTGCCCATCAGAAGATTTGAATCAATTTATAATCAAAAGTTCAAACGAAGAAGAGGCCAGGAAGTCAGGACGGACATGGGAGGAGATGGTCGCTGACCTGGCGGGCACCCAGGCAGCAGGACCCCTGCGATGGTCTAGATGGTAACCGAGCCCCCTCCGCAGCCACCCCCTATGCGGCCATCGACACGTGGCCCGGCAGGCGCAGTGGAGGTATGATCGTCATCACCTCCATCCTGGGCTCTCTGCCCTTCTTCTTGCTTGTGGGCTTCGCCGGCGCCATTGCTCTCAGCTTCCTGTGAGTGCGGGGGACACCCCTGATGTGGTCCGTGCGGGCCAGTAGTAGAGGTGGCCCTGGACAGCAGGGGTGGGGGTGTCCTAGAGCAGCCTGGGTGCAATGCGCGCACACCACCGGCAGAGGGCGTCCCCGCGCTGTTGCTGAGTTACTAAAACCCCTGAGCCCATCTGACTCGGTCACCCCTGGAACTTCTGCCAGATTCCGCTCCTTAGACTTCTGGTGCTTGGGGTCATGGGGACAGTGGCCTCTCGTTGTCTGGCCCACAGTGAGACCCCAAACGGGGGTTCACATAGTTTCCAGAGGGTGCCACTTTCCTTATTCCGGGCACTGGGCATAAGGTGAGTGCTTCAGAAAGATTGGGAGGGGACCAAAGGTTTGAGGCCACAGAGTGGCCGAGTGTGAGGGCCGCGGGCCCGCTCTGCCCCCCTGATCGTGGCTCTGCCATCCCCTCCACCAGGGACATGGGCGGCTTTGATGGGGAGACCACGCACGACTCGCAGATCACACAGGAAGCGGTCCCCAAGTCCCTGGGGGCCTCAGAGCCAGCCTACGCGTCCGTGAACCTCAGGCCGCCGCTGGACAGGGCAGAAGTGTTCCCCAGCAAGCTGCAGGACTGAGCGGCCTCGAGATCACGGTCTCCTCCCCGAGGCCAGGCCGAGGACTGGGGCGGAAACAGGGTGGGCTGGTCCCGCGTGGGGAAACTTAGTGCGTCCCTGAGATGTGCGGTCCAGAAAGTGTGTATGGAATAAATGGAGCGTCGAGTCCTCCTGAGGGCTTCACCTGCGTCCTTGCTGGGCAAACAACCACCATGAAACGGATAGGGCCAGGCTTGATGGCGCAGGCCGTAACCCTAGCACTCAGGAGGCTGAGGCAGGAGGATCACAAGTTGAAACCTAGCCCAGGCAATTTAGTGACTTAAGTGAGACTCCCAGGCAAGATGGCAGCGCTGGGGCTGGGGCTGAGGCCCACCAGGAGTTTGAGGCCAGCCTCTGCTGGGTAGCAAGTCCTTGTCTCAAAAATCAAAACCAAGACAAACAAGAAAGAATGTGGAGGTTACTTGACCCCCAGCCTCTAAGCCTCAATCTCTTTATCTGTAAAATGGGCTAGAGCACCCGGAGCCTTCCTCCCGGGGTGCTGTATACACCGAAGCCCTGCAGCACCCCAAGATCAGGTGTTGGAGCCTTAACCATAGGTGGCATCACGGGGCACCAGGGTGGAGTCGTGGGACAGGTTGTTCCCTTAGAAAGAGGCCAAGCTCCCACACTGGCCCGGCCCACGACCACCAGAGGTTTTCTCACCCCCCTCGGCACCCTTACCCCAGACCCGCAGCCCCCAGGCCCCGGAGAAATGGCTGCTGATCTTGCAGCGGCCAACTCAGGGCCGCACACATCCTCAGCAAGTGCCCCACCCCCAGCCCCAAGCTTTTTTACACACACAATCTCCTGTTCCGAGACACCCATAGCCCCCAGCAGGCACTCAGGGGCTACTAAGCAGCTGGCCCCCTGCCTCAGCCCCGCCAGGCCCAGGCAAGTGCCTATCCCATCCCGTCTCTAGGCAGCAACCTGCTCAGGACATCCTACCTGGAAGGCGTGCCCTGTGCAGCGGTGCCTGCCTGTAATCCCAGCAGTCTCAGGAGGCTGAGGCAGGAGGATCACAAGTTCCAGCGCAGTCGGGGTAACTTAGTGCCTCAGCAAGGCTCTATCTCACCATTAGGTTGATTCAACCCCTAGAGCAGCTGCGAGCTCAACGCATCAGCTGAAGCAAGCGGATTCCTTGCCAGTAGTGGGCAAACCCATCCTAGGCCTGTGGCAACAACTTTTCTACCCACAGACTCAGGTGGACTTGGCCCTGGAGAGGAACCTCCCTCCTCCGCCCCGAGTTTGCCCCCCTCTTGTTCCCACTAAGACCCTACTGAGAGGGGCTGCTGGTCCGAGGAAACTGGAGGCTGACTGGACAAGTCTGACCTGTCCACATCCACCCAGGCCTTGCGTGAGGACCTATACCTCCCAGTGCCTGTTTCCTTGTCTGCCTTTGCATTTCTGTTTTGCTTTTCTGAGACAGGGTCTCACTGTGTAGTGTAGGCTGGCCTTGAGCTCACCATGTAGCCCAAGCAGACATTGTACTCACCGCAATTATCCTGCCTCAGCCTCCTGGGTGCTGGGGTGACAGGTGTGCGCCACCATGTCTGGCTGATTCCCTATTTGTAAAGTGGGGACAGTGCAGGGAACCTGCCCTCAGTGGGTTGGGAGCTTCAGGGAACCACTGTCCCTGTGCCTGCATCATCCTAGCTGCCTGGCCATGGCTCATGACGGTCCCCAGCAGGGCCTGGGGCCTTGGGGGCCAGGTGAAGGGCCCACTCTTCTTGTGCCCCCCATCTGCACTGGCCAGGGCTGGGCGTGTCTGGCAGTGACCGCCCCTAGGAGCATTCATAGTGCTTCACAGAGGGATGGCATACTGGTGACAGGGACACCCAGCCGAACCTTGTCACATTCAAGGCCAAGGCGAGAGCTGTGGGAAGGGCAGGCAGGGGTGGGGCCCACCAGGTGACTCTGCTCTGGCAGTCCAGGCTGTATAGGCTGACACACAGGAGGCACAGCCAGGGCCGGGACAGGAGCTGGGAGGTCCCTCTATGGGAAGCTGAAGAATGACGTGCGGCCGTGGGAGGAGGATGAGGACAGCTGGCCAGGGCCCCCGTGCAAGGTGATGCCTCCGTCCCCAACAGAGGCGAGCAGGCTGGGTGGGGACATCGAGAATTTTGGAGAACACGCTGGGCGAGGCGGCGCGCACCTGGAATCCCAGCACTTGGGAGGCCTAGGCTGGAGGACTGCTCTAAGTCCGAGGCCAGCTGGGCTGCTCAGTGAGACCGCATCGCAGCAACAAAAGAGCTGCCCGTCCCCCAAGCCCCCTCTACAGCAACCCACGCAACTCCCACGCCCCTGAGCCCGGAAATCACCGGTCTGAGCTTCATTCCTATAAAAGTGTCATTTTAAAACGTTGTCAGACATGGAAGTATGTCACACAGCGTCACGTCCTTGAGACCCACCCCAGTCCCACCTGCATGCAGCGTGTGCCTTTTATGACTGGGCCGTGTCCCTTCTCTTCGATGTGTCACCAGGGAAGGTGAAGGGCACGCGGTCCTGCTCACGGCTGGTCGCGAGCCAGCTACCAGGAGCTTTCCTTTCCTCCGGGGAGGACCCGAGAGCGACCTGGCTGGGCTGCAGGGGGAGTGTGTGCTTGAGAAGAAGGTGCCAGAACAAGGGCCAGCCACATAGCTCAGTGGACTAAAGTGCCTGCTGAGGCAGTCTCAGCGACTGGGGTTCAGTCCCCGGCACGCCACCCCCGGGGCATGCTGAGATGGCTACGAGACTGGGCATGGCAGTGTGCCCCTGTAATCCCAGCGCTTGGAAGGCTGAAAACAGGGAGTCCAATCTGTGTAGTGAGATCCTGTAGATTCTGTACTAAAAATACATTTTCAAAAAAGGAAACAGGGCCGGGGAGATGGCTCAGTGGAATAAGCGCTTGCCTGGCAAACACAAGGGCCTGAGTTTGATCCCTGGTTCTGGAAAAGAAAAAAAAAAAAAAGGTCTTTAGGTTTTTCCGATTTGATTTGAAACTGTCTCATTGCTATCTCTTTGTCAATAAAACTTTGAGAAAAAATAAAAAAAAAAAAATAAAAAAAAAAAAAAAAAAAAAAAAAAAAAAAAAAAAAAAAAAAAGGAAACACCAGAATGTTTTCCACAGCGGCCTCTCCCCAGGTTCAGGTTCCTACTGGCCAAGTGTGAGAGCCTCGTTTTGCAGCTGGTTGTCTCCCATGTGCCATGGCTTGGCCCCCAGCTTGGTGTTTGTTCACTTTGGTTTTTGTTTCTTAAGACAGGGTCTCACAGTGAAGTTCAGGCTGGCCTTGAACTCACTATGGAGCCTGGGCTGGCCTCACACCCCTGGCGATCCTCCTGCCTCAGCCTCTCGGGAGCTAGGCTTACAGGAGTGCTCCTCTCTTCCTCTTCCCTGGTTCAGCTTCCTCCCCAGGCCAATGGGTCCTGCTCAGTCACCTGCTGCCCTCTGACCCTGCCACCTTCATCCAGCCTCACGGAAATCCACTCATCCATCCAGGCTTGGGGCCCTGGGGGAGGCCGCAGCTGGGGACCTGGACCGAGGCAGGAACTGCAGGTGGCAGAGCTGACCAAGAGCAGCTGACTAGGACAGGGCGTCCCTTGCTCCTGAAATCCACAGAACAGGAAAGCATTTCCTCTGTCCCTTGGCCTCGAGCCTCCACCCCAAAGACCCCAAGTCAGCCTTTCCAAGATGGCCCTTGGGCTGCCATCTTCTGGGAACTGAGGGTGGCCTACTAAACCTCTGCCACCACCAGGCCTCTTCACTAACCAGCCTTGGTCATGAGTGAGCTGTGTATGAGAACAGAATACTCGAGATTCTGGAGCTGCAGTGGAGTGGCCCCGGACCATCATCTGGCACTCAGGAGGGTGAGGCGGGCAGCGCGCCTGTGAGTTCCAGTCCAGTCCCAACTGCATAACAAAGGAGGAAAACGAAAAAACAAAAACACCACCATTGGGCCACAGTGAACTCCTTTAGAAGTGGATTATCTCAGCATTTATTACAGTGAAGAAATGCTAGCCAGAACACTGAGCCATCTAATTTCTCTGAGTCCTCCCCAGCACTTTGTGTTTTTATTGTAGCCTTTCTGGTAGTTTGGACTCCTGCATTCCCACCACCGGTGGGTGAGAGCCAGTGCCTCCACATCCTCGCCAACACTGGGTATGGTCAGTCTTTTGAATTTTGTCTATCCTAGTGGTGTGTAGAGGCCTGTCGGTGTAGCTCTGATTTGCATCTCCTCATGAATAATAATGTTGAAATAAACCACATCTTTTTAAAAAAAATCAATTTGTGAGTATTACTCAGATATAAACAAAGACAAACTCAAGGCTTTTTTTTTTTTTTTTTTTTTGGCGGAACCGGGGATTGAACTCAGGCCCTTGCGCGCTTATTCTGCTGAGCCATCTCCCCGGTGCCCCCACTCAAGGCCTTTATAGGTAAATGGATCAAGGAGAGAGACCACACTGAAATGAATCAGACGCGCATGTGCAGACATCGCATTGTCTCACTAGTGTAAGAACCTGAAGGAGTAAATAAAATCTGAAAGGTACAATAGATACTGTGAAAAGGAAAGGATCTGTTCACTGGGAAGATAAAGCCGGAATGAGGAAAAGGACAAAAGCAAGAAAGGAAAAAAGATGTAGCTTGGAATGTACATAGGCTAGCTTGGACACTTGCACTGCTGGCTTCTGCCGGCCTACCGAAAGGAACAGTTAATGCTTTTTTTTCTTTTTCCTGTATTTCAGTCCAGGGACCTCCGGGCCTCGCGACACAGATCGGCCTCCGAGCGCTCCTCCTGTTTTGCGCCTCCCCAGCTTGCGCTTACAGGCGCCGCCAGGCCGTCTCAGGAGCCATCCCCGGCTCAGCACTCCCGCGGGCGGGCCCGATCAACCCTGCATCGCCGCAGCTGGCGCTTTCATCCCTGAGCTGGCTGGCTGGCCCTTGCTCAGCTTTTTCAATTGATTTTTTATCTTAGTCATGGAACTCGCGAGTGCCTGCCATATTCTACACTAGCCCCTCTGCCGCGCATCCCCAGTCTGTGGCCCACGCCCTCACGCTGCCTCTTCAGCCCTAGAACCTTGGGGCTATTCTCTTTTCTCCCAAACGTGACTGCCCTGGTTTTGCGGCCATGTCCTCACAGTGGCTGCTCCGCATACTTGCTCAGTGGCTCTCCTGTCCCCATGCCACCACTACAAAGGGTCGAGACTTGCACAGGAGAGGGGACCTCTGCAGAGAGCTGAGCCGGGAGCAAAGAGGGTCTGGGTAAGGCGGGCGGAGCGTACAGTGAGGGTCAAGGGCCTCTTCCGGTGCCAGACGCCACCCCTCACGCCATCAAAGCTACACCAACCAGACAGGCCACATCGGCAGCAAAGCCGACGCACCTGCTGGGGCTCTGCCCAGCGCTGGAGTGGCAAGGGGCTGGGACCTCCGCAGGCGCCCGGGGGCCTATGGGGTGTGGGGCATCTGCAACAGGGCCCGAGGTTGGTAGTGATGCGTGCGTGCACACACACACTTCAGATGTACGCGCTTCTCACCCGGCCACCTGGCGGCCACAGGGCACCGTCGGTACAGAAGCGAAGCGAATTCTGCTCTTCAGAATTCTGAGGCCGACACTTGTTCACACGCACACACCCCAGCTGTTAGGCTAGAACGACAGTGACAGTGACGGTGTCTCCTCTGGAGGGGTGTGGTGAGGACTGCCCGCAGGGCTCAGCAGGGTCCTCGAGCTTCAGTTGGGTGTTGGCCCTCTTGTTTTGTTGTTGTTGTTGTTTGTTTGCTGATACAGGGTCTCATATGCAGTTCAGGCTGAGGCTGACCTTGAATTTGGGGGGTCCTCCTGCCTCGGCCTCCCAAGTGCTGGTATTACAAGTGTGTGCCACGCCAACTGTTAAACAGCCAACTTTAAATTCAAACTTATATAAAGGTGCTAAGGAGAGAGGAATTAACAGTTGCGGTTCGGGCAGGGCGGGGAGGAGGTTCGGAAAGCCTGGGAAGAGGAAGTGACTTCTGAGCCGACTAGCTCTTCTTAGGGAAAGCGAAGACTTCCACAGTCCGCGCCTAGTCCAGCTGCGAGGGTAGCTCCGCTCCCCGTGCGCTCCACTGCGCCTGCGCCGAGACTCCTGCAGGGGCGGGGAAGGGCGGAGGGGCGTGGTGAGCGTGCTGACGTCACCCCTCGGGGCGGGGCTCAGGCCGCCGC